GAACGTTGCGGAGAAAGAGACTTAGGGCACAAAGAGGTAAGGAGAAGCTTGTATAGCTCCAAGCTTGTATCTTCTGGCGACATTTTCATCGCCACTTGTATAACTCGAACAGCATCACCGTCGAAGCTAGTGGCAATGAAAGTGTTTTCAGGCGACAGAAGTATGTCGCCAGACGATGGTGTCCAAATTCGATTGGTTGTGTTAGATTTCTTAAAAGAACCGTAACTCCAAGTTTTAGGAATCAGATTAAGGTGTCGTTCGAAGCATTGGATAGCTAACACAATGAACTTTAGTTAAAAAAATATTATTTCAGAAGGTTTATACTTTAAAGAATCCATCTGATATGTTGACCAAGTCAGTCACTAGTTACAAGTTCAAACACTGTTTGGACATGTTACATGTTTCTCAGTGTTATGCAGGAGGTGTACCTCCCTAGTTTCTAGGATGAATCGTTATGCATGAAGCCTTCATAGAGGTTTGATATTTGTCAAGGTGGAGATTGTTGAGTATGACTCATATTGTTGAGATAATTATGAATTATTTAGATAACTGTGAACTGTTGAGAGTATAACTCATATTGTTGAGATAATCATGGGTTGTTGAGACAATTATAGGTTGTTGAGAGTATAACTCATATTGTTGATATAATTATGGATAAAGATAATTGTTTTTTAAAGGAGACTAGGGATTAGGATTTTAGATAACCTAAAACCTGATATTATATATATATATATATATATATATATATATATATATATATATATATATATATATATATACTATATATATATATATATATATATATATATATATATATGACTTGTAACATTGTAATCTAATCAAAATTCACAAAATATAAATAAGACGCAACTATAATGGTCTATAGTAGTAGTTGTAAGCAGATTGGGGGAATTGCGTGAACAATTGTTTTGCCTGTTTATCTTTAGTCTGATATGTATTTGCGTTATTGTTCTAGTGTGGATCAAGGCTAGTGATGTGGGTTACTCACACTTGTGTTAAAATTTGTTTGGGTTTCAAGTGTGAAAGTTCTAAAGTCTCACATAGACTAAGAATGGAAGAAATGTTGGGTTATTAGAGAGGTGACCCCGACCCTCATTACAATATGATTTTGGATGGATATGAGTGTCAAAGTCTCTTGAATCTCCAATGTTTGACCCATTAACACTTCCGGTTCGCTTCCCAGGCTCTCCAACAAATACTTGAAGTCGAAAGATATAAAATAATAATAGATAAATACCCGAAAGACATAAAAAAGAAATCTCATTGAAGTTTGGAGAGGTAGAGGAAAGAATGTTCATAATAGAGTTAAGAGACGTAGAAAAGATAACTTGATGCAACTAGAGAGACGATAATAATTTAAGAAAAACACAATTAAATTTTTCTCAATATTACAATGACACTCGAGTGCACTTAAACATCCTAAATAAAATCACGATACCCTAATCTAAAGAACTAGGGTAACTTGTAAGAATGATCTGTGACAGCAAGACATTTCAATCCTGAGACTACAAATTTATTCATGAGCGTTTTTAGGTTTATTAAAATATTAAGGGTGGCAAATTCAATTTTGGAGTGATAGATTAAATAGTCCCTAATTTGAAGTAGTTTTAAACTGAATGATTTGTTAATTTATTATTTGTTTTCACATGATTTTGTTTATTTCGTGAGATATTTTGTAACTACTTATTACCTACGATCGGAACACAAGACGGAACAACCAAAGTTGGCCACCTACAACTAAGTGCAATATGTAAATGCACTTGAACAATCACAATATAGTTTCTCTCTCTCTCTCTGTCTCTCTCCGTCTGCATATTTCAATGTTTCATCAATCTCTTTTCCATCCTTGTTCATTTCCCTTCTCCTCGATTCCATCTCCTAAACCTTGCTATTCTTCTTCGACTTTCACAGTTGGATGCGAGATGCCGAAGCCAATGGAATCAGCGACCAAGAGCGGTCCCTATCCAGGTGGGTTGGGTCCATTCACCGGAGAGACCCCAATGTAAAGAAGCCTCCATGGTTGAGACAGAAAGCTCCTCAGGGTGAACGATTTTCTCAAATTAAAGAATCTATCTCTCAGTTCAAACTCAATACTGTTTGTGAAGAAGCACAGTGCCCCAATATAGGAGAGGTTCCTTTTTTTCCTCATCTTCACTTTACTGTTAATCACATATCTTTTGTTTTTTTATATCTTTACATTCTCATGGACAGTGTTGGAATGGAGGTCATGATGGTATTGCAACTGCTACAATCATGGTTCTAGGGGATACGTGCACTCGTGGATGTAGATTTTGTGCTGTCAAAACCAGCACTAACCCACCACCTCCTGATCCTATGGAACCCCCAAAATACTGCCAAGGCCATTGCCACTTGGGGGGTGCGTATTCACCTCAATTACTATACCTTCAGTCTACTTGTAATCTCCTATTAATTACGAGTTCCTGAATTTTCAGTGTGGATTATATTGTCATAACAAGTGTCGACCGAGATGATATACCTGATGGAGGAAGTGGCCATTTTGCACAAACTGTGAAAGCTATGAAGGTGCATTGATATATAGTCTGATGTTTAAAGATGCATTTTACAGAAGATATATATAATGCAAATCATGAGTACAAACTTTTTTGATTAATTTTGCAGAATATCAAACCTGAGATCATGGTTGAGTGTTTAACCTCTGATTTTCGGGGTGATCTAAAGGCCGTAGAGACTCTGGTTCACTCGGGTTTAGATGTCTTTGCTCACAACATTGAGACAGTCAAACGGCTTCAAAGACTTGTTAGAGATCCCAGAGCTGGGTAAGTTTAATTATTGATCCAACTGCTTTGTCATAGATCCCTAAAATGTTTCTTCAGTACAGGGTTGTAAAATATTGGCTATGGCAGTGCCGTAGCGGATTTTTTGACATTTGCCATAGCGTTTATGGCGGTGGAATTTTGGCTTTCTGCCATTGTCCGTCATCGATAACACTACCGGTAGAATAGAAATAAATATGTAGGGAAAACAAATATTTCCATGAGTGTTTTAAAAGCAGTACCAAAACATAGTGGTATGAAAAAAAGAGAGTGGATAAATTTTAAAATATATTGTAAAGTGTGAACTTACAGGAGCCTTTCGAGAAGACCACTTTGCATGTCATAATGTGATAACTAGTTTGTACAAAACGATAACATTTAAAACAAAATGAAAGGGAGATTATTATTTAGTGAAGTGGTCATTTTACAACTGTTTCTGAAGGGATCTAAACTCTGTTTCTTGAGTTAGACCAAAATCTTACACTGAACAGACTCCTCATGGGACCCAATGATAACATATTAAATATGAGAAGATTAAGAAAATAAAATGTCACTAAATGTACTAAAGGTTCAATACCAAAAATTGATGAATTACTTTTGCATATCATCTTTTCTTTTCTTAAATTTACAATCAAGTCATTTCTCTTCTATTCAATTTTTAACTGGATTTTCTAATTCTTAATGTCTTCTCTGTTCAGTTGCTAAGTATAAGTAGGGAAGCGTATGGCCCTCTAATAACAAACAGATGAGACTCATATCTAATAATTTCTGAGTTACAAATTCCAATTACCTTATTCTCCAATGTTAATATCCCTAAAAAATAGGGACATGGGAAGGGATGGGAGGAAACATCATAGTAAAAGCATATTGATTGTGGGTTGTCCAATTACTTTACTATTAGTATTATGGAACATGATTTAAAACTTACCTTCTGTTTTCGTAGGTATGTTGTTCTCCATTATAAATCATCATTAGTTCCATTTCTTATGCATAGTATGTGGTTGCAGGTATGAACAAAGCTTGGCAGTTCTAAACCATGCAAAACAAAGCAAGGAGGGTATGATAACAAAATCTTCGATAATGTTGGGCCTTGGAGAATCTGATGATGAGGTGAAGAAAACCGATGATGGACTTAAGGGCCATAAATGTGGATATTCTGACTCTTGGTCAGTACTTGCAGGTTAGCTTATGTGAAATATTATGGTGCCTCCTTTGCATGCTTGTTATAACCTTCGAAAATAAATATTAAAGTTCAGTCGTTGGTTACAAGTGACACCGATCATTCACAAGATCTTACTAATCTATGGCCTACTGTATGTTTAATTTAATATATGGCCAATTGATTCATTGTTGTGGATGTAACTTAATAAAAAACGTTGTTGTTGCAGCCTACTCCTTTGCACTTGACCGTTAAAGAGTATGTTACGCCTGAGAAGTTTGACTTCTGGAAAGAATATGGGGAGTCTATTGGTTTTCGTTATGTGGCCAGTGGTCCACTGGTACGCTCTCGTAACTATTGCATACCTTCTTTTGGTATATGACTTAATAACAGTTAGCATACAAATCATATGTGAACAACACTACCAATCTACCTAAATGGACTAAAACAATGTGCATTGTGCCTTTAACTGTCTTCTTAGATAGATTGTTTAATCATATTGTCATCATTCAACTTTCGTCATTTTGATTGTGAGCCCTATATTTGTGTTGTGCAGGTACGATCTTCATACCGAGCTGGGGAGCTGTTTGTACAGACAATGGTTAGAGAAAAGACCAAGAATGTAGAGGGCTCATTATTATAACCCTTTTGCTCTGTGATTATGGTTATATAGCTAGTGACAAGAGATGATGAAATTTTCGCTGCTTGTGCAATTGCTGCACAGAAAAATGGTTAGCTATACAAGTGTCTTCTATTGCTTTGGAGTGAAGATATCAAGATTTTTTTGTCAATTATATGAATGAATTTGTTGCAGTGAGCAGTTCTAATCAATTCATTATCACAGATATGATTCTGTGATATTTATAGTTTTTATTTCAATACGATAATAGTGGATAGGCTTATTAAACTTGTAAACGATTTAACATTTTTGTCATTTACTAGTATGCAATTCTTTTTTATAGCAAACATATAAGTATTAAGAACATTGTAGGTGTAATTCACCCTCAAAACAACAGAGAGGAGAAATCGCATCAGACAAATAAGTGAACTTCTGATTCTCGAGGTTCCCTGCATAAAACATAGTGCGACTTAATTTTTGGGCTTGAAATATCATGACATCCCTATGATATATTTCAAGATTCTCTAAATTTGGTGTAGAGCATTTTGTAGTTTGTTGCTCCTTGGTTGGATTATTTGCTCATGATAAAATTTCCAACAAAAACCACGAAATCAAAGGAGGAAATGGGCGTGTTTGGTATCTGTGCTGTTACTTTTCTCCATTCTATCATAGTTTGCATGTCTGTCATTGTGCTTTTATCCAACAACATTATTTCAATGGGGTTGCAAGTTACAACAGCTCCCAAAAGCTCTTTTTTGAACCATCCTGTTGTCCCCTTTTTTGGGTTTTGCACTCATCTTGTTAGCATTACACTCCAATGATCCTATTTGCCAGTTCTTTTTTTTAATCTGAATTCTTTGTTTGAGTGTTTTTGTTGGTATCATTTCCTCGATTTAATTTGAGTTGAGCCAAATGGGGCCCATCTATATGAGGTGTATACTCAACACCTTTTTTAATTTGACAATACTTAAATAAAAATTCAAGACTTTATTCAAGGGGAACCAAACTCCTTTAAACACTTGGACCAAGAGGTATTGATTCTTTGTTTGCTTTTTATGCAACAAATGTGCAATATCATATTTTTATTTTATGGTTTCTCTTCAAGTTCTAAACAGCCATAGAAGTATTCTCATCCATGCTAGTGTTCTTAATGTTTTTCAATCTTGTTTTGAGATAAGCTATTAAAGACAAGTTTTACATTAGCATATTTTGAAATTCTTCTTCCTAATTTCTTAACTGTGTTTTTTCTTTGAAATGACAGAAGAAACTTGTTTTGGCAGTGAAAATCATAAAGAAAAATCCAAACGCAGTGCTATTAACTAATAACTTTAATTATAAATAGAACACCAAACAACATTGCACATGCAAGAGTACTAAACATGAAATGCTCTTACTAAATCCTTATATAGAGCAGTTGTTTACATTTCTTGTGATACATTGTGGCGAGTTTATGTAATATCGAATTTTGTTTTTGGTCTTGATATTCATTTTTTTTAGTTCTTATAAACTACAAAACTGCAATCATTTAGTGAGAGACTAAATTCATACAACTTTGTAATTTATACGGAACTAAAAACATAATTAATCTTACATTACAGTCAAATTAAAGTAGTGCATTCAACATCTCATTCCAAATATCAGGCACACCAGGGAGACACCAATGACTGCAACCAGAAGTATGGTCTGTTCCTTGTTTTTGTTTCTCATCTTGGCTTATTGCATTCCTGTACACTGAAGGATGTCCATCTCTGCGTAAGGCAGTCATTGATGTAATATCTTGCAGGTATACTGGAAACCTCATTCTCTTCAGCACTCCTTGGAGCACAACCAAAGGTTCAGGAGTATGTTTTTGGAGGCTGAAAAATGGTAGAGGTTGTTTTTGATTATAGCATTTCCAACCATTTTCCCTGCATAAACTGAGAGTTAGTTTTTGTTTTTGTTTAGAAAAGGATAAAATTAGTTTTGAGCATATAAAAATAGATAGTACTTGTTATGTCTAGGTGACATGCTTCTGAAAATGACTTTGGTTTTTTGGGGGTCTAGATTTAGATCCACCCATCTTGCCCATGTACTGAGTCCTTTTTGATAAGCAACCATAGGATTCATGTTTTTTATCAGACTATTTCCCTCCTTGTAGTAATCCCACCTGTATTAGTCAAGACAAGAACATCGGGGGTCGACGTGTTAGTTCGAGAGTTGAGAGGAAAATGAATGATAAGAAGAATATTTCTTACGAGCTTGTGTTATTAGAGTGAGACCACCAATGAGCTGAATCAAATACAAGGATATCAACTCCTCTCCAAGACCTTGCATTTTCTTCTATCAAATCCAAATGTAAAACTCTCTTGTTTCCTTGATCTTTCTTCAGTTCTACTAGCAACGGTGCCCAGAAAAACTCAATCGATGTCTCAAAATCCTACCAGACAAAAATGTGATATCAATGACTTATGGAGAAAGAAAAGAAAATGTGTTGGACGAATAGTTTCTTACCATAGCATGGAAGGCCATTGCAGGTCCATTATAGGTCACCTTTTTTCTACCAGTTAGTATTACTCCTTGCACTAAGCAAACTAAAGACTCCCACTGATTTCTCATTATTGAATCACCTACCAACATTATTCTCTTCCTTGTCATATTTCCAAGAAACCTTAGTGCATCAAACCTGCAGTGGCAATAAACAAATGATAAAGTAAATATACAGAAGAAAACAAAAGGGTGGAAATGTGAATAGACCTTGGGATAGAACAAGCATTTGGTTTCCACTTCCACTTCTCATAGTCAGAATCTGGCCTACCATTCTTTTGACAAGTAACTGCAGTACTGAGATAAGGGCAGTTAGGATCATAGAGAGGGTAAGAATCATCATAAACCCATTTTCCATCAGAAAAGTCACATCTCTTGCTTTGGACCATGTTAACATCATGATCGAGTTCAACTAGAAATCCAACCTCATCTTGAGGGTTCAGAAGAGATGATGTGCAGTGGAAGAAGGTGAACAAGAACATAAGAGTAAACAAGTGAGTGATTGGTGTTGCCATGGAAGAAGAGAAAGGTTGTGTTATTGTAGAATGGAAAGAGGTGATGAAGGCATGAGTTGCGGGGTGGTGGTGGTGAACCATTGAGATATATTACTTGTACTTATTGCCATTGCTGACACAGAGAGTGTACTAATTGATCCTTTTCTTTATGTCACCTTTTTCAGAAACCTTTAACTCTCTTTTATCCTTAAAATATAATAATATTTAATCTTGAGATTTATGAACATCAAATTTTTAAGCTTAAAAAAAATTAAAATAATCATTTAGATCTCTCTCTTTTACTTACATTACATATGTGGTTTACATTTGTTTATAAAATAAATTATTTGAAATGACAAATACACCTACATAGAAATGTTAAATTATATATAAATAATTATATTATGGTAATCTATGCGGTGCAGGGGCTCCACGTGGCGGGGAATATATTCGTCATCCTCATCCCTAAAGTGCCATCGGGGGAACTTTATTCCCCATCCCCGCGAGGGGAAAATTCCCCATATTTGAGATCCCAAACGAGGAATCTTCACGGGAATCCCCACTAATGGGTGCAAGTTAATTCCCTAGTTGCAAGTTAAAAACTAAATCCTATTACAAAGTGTAATATAATTCATGTTGTTGTACCTCAAAATTTACCCCTAAGATCCTTCTATCATCTCATGTCAACTCAATCACAACAAGATCACACTAGTGTTTGACTCTTCTCCCTACCTCTAGGTTTGCTCATGAGGAATCACCAAATACTTTGATTTGTATATTGTCATCATATATGTGTTGTGTTGATTAGCTTTTAACTAACAAATACAATGAATGTTTGCCCTAATTGATGATATTATAGGTGAGAGCACAACACGTTCCATCAAGTTGATCCATAGGTTCATGAGTTTATTTCCATGCCTTCTTCAACAAAGCTTCATTGAGATTCAAGCTTCATCATTGAAGATACTTTGAAGTAATATAATAACAAGGTCTACTTTGATTCATCATGCCTTAATTTGTCAAAGAAAGTCAAAGGATGCAAGAGTTGATTGAAGCGGTTTGACCTAATCGGATAAGTTCTTGTTTTATTGATCACAAGTGCATCATTCTCTCAATTCTTAATATTTGGAGTTGGTTTTGGTTGCTATGGTTTCTCATTTTCATCCTCATCAACTTATATTTACAAGACAAAAACATTTGCGCAAGAAAGTTGGTCAAAATTGAAAAGGGTTCCCAAGGCATTTTGGTGCTCTAGGAGCTAGGGTTTTGAACTTCTAAGGGCTATATATTGCTCATATTTTGGTATTTTTAAGTGATTACAAAGACATGCTTATCTTTAAAGGGTTATAAACAAATCACTTTAAAAGTTTCAAGAAGATTTTATGTGGAAGATGCCTTATGATGAAGAAAGATTACAAGTCCTCTAGATATGCCATCAAATTCCCTTATGTGACTTCAAAGGATCATAACTTGGTTAATTTTTATCTCCTTGAGTCCATTCTTTTTCCACAATGATCTTAAGGATGTGAACTTCAACCCTTCTTTTATGCGCAAAGTTTGAAAATGGATGGAAGATGCACTAAGGATGCAAAAGATTATAGGTCATCTCATGAATTTTCACCAACTTCACAAAGTCATAACTTTCTCAAATTTTGGAGTTTTTAAATGGTTTAAGTCTCAAAATGTCATTCAAGATATCTACTTCATGCCATATTTTTTGGTCAAGAGAAAATTTTAAATGGAAGGCCACGCTTGGATGCAAGACATTATAGGTCACTTTTGAAGAAGAAACTTGAAATTTTTTTAAGTATAAAAGTCAGCATCTTTTTCTCAACTTTGACTCATCACAACTTCTTGCTCAAGCATCCAGTTGATTCCATTCTTTGCACATTGTAAAGTTTGTGATCTCATCTTTCCAATGCATCAAGAATCAACTCCTAAGATTCCCTAAATCATACGCACCATTGATTCAAAGATGGTACCTTGAAACTGAAGTTTTCTCCAAAATCAGAATTTGAAATTCATGATTTGGCCTCTAAACACAAAATTTCTGCGTGTTTTTACTTCTAATCATGTTTAGCAATATTCCAGAAGTGATTAGCACCTTGAAACACAAGTTTTGGTTGAATTTTGAGAAAAATAGAAGTCACACTTTTCTTGTTTGTACCTTCACACGATTTCCCTCCAAACATCATTGTTTCACACACTTAAGCATTCCATTATCTTCCTTATAAATAGCCAGAATCACCCTGCCAAACTCTCTCTTCAACCCACTTTTCTACAACTTCGAATTTGGTTTTATAGCTTTCCTCAATCCATTTTCTTTGTCAATTCTTCATCCTTGAACTTCACTGAAGCTAACAAAAGAAGAACCAAGCTCTAAGACTTCCTAAATTGTGCAAGGCAAGTCAAGTTTCAGAGTTCTGAATTTGAACTTCAATAGGTAGATTCTTTCATCAATTCTCTCAAACTTTGGTAATGTAATGAAGCTCTCATCATTCTGATACTAGTCTCAACATTTGTTTTCAACTAGAAGTGAGTTTTGACCATGAATTTTCAAATCCCTTTTCAAATTTTTCCTTCTGGTTTTTGCAAAACGACTGATTTACACCTTAAATAAATTTTTCGAGAGAGTACCATTGGAATCGTCTTGAAGAGACGAAGAGAATGGTACCGGTCTCGAGCTCTAATTTTTCCATTTCATGAACCTGCAAATCGCGTGGACAGAGGTTGAAGATGACCTACGTGTCCATCTTCAACCAATGAGAATTTGCCACGTATTTTTTTCAAATCTGATTTAATAGTTGATCACATGTTTTATTCATTAAGGACCATGATATGCACAACGCGTCTGATCCATTGGATTAACATACTAACGCATTTTGACTCTCATCCAATGGTCTATATTTTTTGACTTTATTTTTTATTTCTGATTTTTTATATTTAATTGTTTTAAACTTCAAAATATCATAGAAAATTCATTTATGACTCAAAAATTATGAAAAAAATTCACAAATTTTTTCCAAATATTCTCTTTCTGATTTTTATTTTTTCATAATTTTATTTTCAGATTTGGTATTTTTCATGATTTTCTCTTTGTTTTGGTTTGATTTTAATTGCTTAAAAATACTTTTTGACATTTCTTAAATTCTGAAAAAATTCATCAAAATTATTTCTCTTATTTCTGACCTTCTGAATTTTTTTAGAATTTTGTTTTTACTTTGTTGTACCCCAAAATTTTCCCTCCTATATTTCTCAAAATATTACAAGAAAGATCTCCAAGTGGCTCAAGTTTGCTCAAGAGTTGGTCAGACACGCTCTCTCCTAAGGCAGTCTACCCCACATTAGGGTTTTGTGTTACATCAAGATATTTGAGTCCAAATGACCTCAAGTTCTCATCAATGTCCTAATATGTTCTCAAGATCATCTATGTTAAATTTCAAGCCTTGCAGAGGAAGCTTACTCAATCAATTGCTCAAAGGTCCAAAAATCGACTATGCTAGGGCAAAAGTCAACTGTGACCCAAATACAGTCAAACTTCAAGATTTTTTGTCAACATTCTCATTTTAAATGATATTTCATCATTCGATCAAGGGTTGATCATGATTCATCAAGGATTGCTCAAAATTCATCAAGATTCAAAAGTTGCTAAATTAGGGTTTTGTAGGAAAAGTCAACCCAACTTTGACCAAGCATAACTTTCTCATACTTTATGAGAAATGACCCATCCAAATCTCATTTTAAAGAGGATGAAATTACCTACAATCCATCTTCATAGCCTAAGTTCAAAAAATGCACTCACAAGAAGTTATGAATTTGGACATTATAGGTCATTTTGAAAAGTTAACAAAAACACCTTTTTTGTCAAAGCTTCTAACTTGAGCATGGAATATCAAAATGAAACGAGACCAAAAGGGTTGGTTAGAGGACATCTCAAGCTTTCTAAAAAGTCCAAGAACACCTCCAAAAGTTCAAAATTGCATGGTTGGTCATTTCCATTTGATTTAGTTAACACTACTATAAATAACACTTTTATGATGAAGCTTTGACCTCGAACATGCTAAAAATTGAGAGTATAGGTCCTGGGAGCGTCATGTTTGTTTTTTTTTTACAGAAAATAAACAACATTATCCATTGGTTTTCTCAAAAACCCAGGTAACATAGCTATAAGTGAGTGTCATGTTTTATCCATAAAAAAATAATAAGTCTATTCCCTCGATTTTTTGAAAAACCGAGGGAATATAGCTATAAGGGATCTCGCTTCGAATCCCTGCTACTGCATTTAAATTTTTTTTCAATAATTTCTCACTTGGCTTATTTCCAAATTTCATTTTCTTTCTTAGTTAATTTTTTCTTTGTTAATTAGTATTTCTCAAAATCTTTGTTATCAATAAAAAATAATAGGCAATAATAGGAAAGAAAATATTTCACTGGTAATCAATTACGGATTACAAAAAAAAAAACAGGACAACAAATAACTACTCCATATATTCAAACTTCTGACTCCACTCAACTTCAATATTATCCCTATTAAATATCTATAACTGAGAGAAAAGTTCAGAAAGAACTCTTCCATATGGTATGAGGAAAGTCATTTCCTTCCCGAGAGATGATTATCATTTCCTTTAAGAAGTTAAAAATAGTAAGATGAAGATTAACTCTGACATTGCGGGTAAGGAAGTGCAAGAGATGTTTGTCATCCCAAGTAAGCGTTTCCAGTTGTTTCTCTCTTTTATGAAGATTTAACAATAGAAGTTGATACCAAACTTTTGCAATTGGAAGTAGAGTAACAGGGCTGGTTGGATTATTGTTGTTGGCATAAATTAGACATTGTTGAATCTATAATATTCAACACAACTACCTTTGTATTAATAGTTTATTGTCTTAGCAATGAGTGATGGAGTAATGGTGATATGAGAACCATTGACATATGACTAGATTGACTCAGCATCATGACCTGATGGCACAGCGGAGGCATTTAACTAGAAACATTTAATAAGATTAGTGTAGATGGATCCATG